ACATGTTCTAATAATTATGTTTTGCCTTACCTATTGTACATTATGTATGATAAATCTATAATTAACACTCACCTGACAACGTTTGTGTTTTAGGAAATTCTGCAAACAAAAGAACTTTATTCAATAGGAAACGAAACAGAAGAGGAGAATGATGTTACACCATACGATGGTCTAGTAGTAAGTTCTTTCTAGGGCTTGTGTTAAGCTAATTAGAATAAAAATAAGGTTCATGTTAAGATCGATTAGCATAATAATATGGTTTATAGGTTTCAATATAGAACACACTCAAGCTTTTAGCACTAATCCGAGTTTGCAGGAGATGCTTGGAAATATTATACGTAACAGGCATAGCTTCAATAATCCAAGATGGCGAACAGCTCACTTTTCTCAGTCGAAATATTTTGAAAAGTAAGCAAGATATAAACAATCTGTAATAGTGTTTAATATATAGTTTTAAGAGTTCTTTCAAATGAACTACATGATTACATTTTATTGCCAGTGTCCTTTAAAGCCCGTTCTCCACTACGCGAATTTGTTCGCGCGACGCGAAAACCGAAATCCGGCAACGTGATTGGTCGGCGAAAAAATTCGCGACGAAAAAGTAGGATCGCTTCCTACTTTTTATCTGTTCGCGCGAATAAATTCGCCTAGTGGAGAACGGGCTTAAGTAAGTTTATATAAATGTAAGCGAGCAGTACCGCGGATACATAACCCGGGTTGCGGTCACAGTCAGTACCGAAAGTATAATAGCGGATCGCGGATGCTTTACCTAGGGCGCTATAAAAAAAACAATAAGTGTTCTTCTTTAAACCGGCTAAGCTTGCTACACGCAGGCGAGCGTTAGGTGACTTTGGCACCTATCTCTGGTTGTATTAGGAGCAAGTTTATTTCTTTAACGCCTTGAAACATTGCACTATCCTTGGGATCACTGAGTTCAGTTCCTGGGCATATTTTTGTTGAATACTTTAATACTCGTATTAAGTAGCGATTAAAAATTCACATTTGCACGGCGACCGTGCATTTCGTTCCTAAGCGGTCGGAAACCAACAGCACGGAAACCAACAGCGCGATTAAAAATTCACATTTGCACGGCGACCGTGCATTTCGTTCCTAAGCGGTCGGAAACCAACAGCACGGAAACCAACAGCACGGAAACCAACAGCACGGAAACCAACAGCACGGAAACCAACAGCACGGAAACCAACAGCACGGAAATCAACAGCACGGAAACCAACAGCACGGAAACCAACAGCAGGTTTGCGAAAACTGAGAGCATCCGCAGGTGGCGCTGGCTGTTTAAGGCTCGGTCCATACAAGCGAAGATGCGAGTTCGAATCCCGCTCGAGAAAGCGAATTTTTTATTGTACTCTGTAGTGGCAGAATAAATATGAAACTAAAGGCAAAGGTGGAGGGTGGGGCGGGGGGTTGCTACATGCATAGTACAATTCTTAATCAAGGACAATTTCCTTTATCAAGGGCAATCGTCGACCATCAGGTGGAGCATTAATAACAGGTTTGTATATGTAGTCAACATTAGAGGCAATGGAACTTATTTCATTATCTTTATTATAATTAAACGTTTATATGTTTGAAAGCATTGAGTTTTTGCTGAACGCCTTTGCTTGTTAACTTAACCAATGACAAACATAGTCCATATAGAAATTTAAAAAACTCAATAATCCATGAGGAAAATACAAAAGAAATGAATGTTTGTTTATTTTTAAAATTACTTCGCCAATGAACTCATAAGATGGGTCGCTTTTTAAGCGCGTTAAAACATTCGCATCCGATCTTCATCTGATATGCAAACTCTCGCCTTCGGCTCGAGTTTGTATATCAGATAAAGATCGGCTTGCTCATGTTTTAACTAGTACATAGACATCTCTATATCTGTATAATGTTGTGTAAATGCATTGGGCGAAATCTCAGTTTGTCTTGTGTTAATTGCTCCGCATACTACTGTACAAAGAGTGGAAAAACAACATATCGCCTTGCCACGGTATGACCTATTACATGGCCTTGCTTTCTATTCTGTCCTGCCAATGTATGATCATATTAATGTATAAATGCTCCTTGAACTGCTAAATGATACTTGCATGGCATCACATCTGTTAGGCTATCCATGGCAATATATGTATCTGTTTAAAATATCTACTACTCAGGGCAAATAGTGTAAATTCTATCTGGTGCATAATATGCAATCTCAGTTTTGATTGAAACATGTCATTTCCCACTTTTATTGCACTGCTATTCACTTACGTATTATGTGTTTTATACTTCCCTTTGAAATTAAATATCATACCTAAAGGATCAGTGTCTGGCCTATGCATTATTAATGTGCTTTATGGTGGTATTTATACTGCCATATATTGCGTTAGAACGCAAAACTGAAATTTTTTGTCATTAACATTTGAGAAGACCTGAAATTGAGTTTGTTGCACTTAACAACATTTGCAAAAAGTCCTGACAACATGCATTATTTGTGACGCCAAAACCTTTCGTTCAATGACGAAACTGGACAAATTTGCATACATGGACGTTACTTAAATATGTGACTGTATTCGTAGCAAATACTATATATATATATAATTAATATTCATATCATATCATTAATATTCAGCAAATATATCAGCAAACGCAAACGATAAGAAAGACATTGTCTTGTCTATTAATAATAATAATAAACAACTTTATTTCATGAGGCTAACACGTAACAGCCAATGCTGACAAACCAGTGGCCCTCCTAAAAACATTCTATCAAATTACATATTATGTTACTATCCTAAAATTATATTATATACATTCACTATGTAATTACCAAAAATTTGGTTGATATACTGCAGTTAGCATAGAATAAAATAGAGTAAAATGTACCGGTGAGTAAGTTTTACATATTTACACTAAAAGAATATGTTCGCAAAAGTTCCTATAAAATGTTTTCTAAGTGCATTTTTAAAAGAACCAATACTTTGTTTCCTCTTTATTTCGGGAGGCAAACTGTTCCCTAGCTTGTCATTTAACTTTAATATCTATTGAATTCAAATGCGAGGAAATACTTTTGAAAACTGCGCATTTAGTTATCTATGCTTTGTCCAGATTTGCACCTCATTTAGGCTATACACACGGCACTAGACACATTTTGCCCGGATAAAGTATTTCTTGCATGACCAAATTAAAGCAAAACATTTAGCGAACTCAGTCTACGTTGCCAACATCGAGAAGATTAGTTTCACAAGTGTCTAGTTATTTGTTTATCAAGTTAAAATCTCGAAGGTTTTGAACGTTTAACGATTTGCACAAGATCGAAACTGGGTCACGCAGTTCCTGGTCCACTATAGTACGATCGTACTTGTTATCGAAAGACTACGGTTATGGAAAGTGACTACAATATACTGTATTATTAGAGCAAAATGGATTTGAGTTTCTCATTGTATACCTTTTGCCTTCGTGCAAGTAAGTCGAATACCTATTTCAGTATTTAATGACGCTTTTTTTCACACCAGGTCACAGGTCGGACACATCCTTTCATCCTGGCCGCAACACTCTGCTTCATGTGACAGAAGCCCCTGCTGAAATTCTTACAGCGTTAGAGGGTGATTCGTTGTGGGATTATAACATAATTGAACTCGAACGAATTACGAATAAGAAGTAAGTGCTTATTGTTATTTCCAAAATGTATGTTATAGTTTTTCTTATGTGTGCAATGGGAAATTTGGCAACTATGCCATACATAAGTTCAGTCAGCATCCTGCCCTCGTGACATTATAGAGCTTTTCAATGTATGTATCCGGTTCTTAGTCACAATTAATATAAAAAAATGTTTGTTGAAAAATTACGTTGGCATGAACACGATACGTATTTTATTGCGTTCGTACACGTCGTGGACATACTTAAATTTTCAGTTATTCAATTCAGTTTGCTGATTGTTTTTTTTTTAGTTTTGTTAATTTTGCAGTTTGAGTATAATTTGAAAAGATGATATTAACAAATGAGAGTCCTGCGTACAGTTGGGCCAAAAAAATATGTGGGTTTCCGGTTTCTTCTTATAAAAACTTAGGTAGGGTAGGTCGGTTTTAACTTTTTTTTTAAACTTTTTTTTTTAATTTTCCGAATAAGCGGACGTCATTTTGTTTAGTCAGTGCTTCCACATCCAAAGATAAATTTCCCTAATATTGCCTCAAATTTCAATTTTCCACAAACTTTTTCCTCTAAGTGGAAACACTTACAAGCATGATCCAATAAAAAAGTTTAGGGTCGGGATATCGACGTCCAAAAGCTAGGTAGGGTCGGGAAACCGGAAACCCACATATTTTTTTTTGGCCTTGTGCATTTGCAACATATGTAGGGGTCTAATATAGCTACTGTTCTATGACACTTGATTAAGAACTAGGATATTTTTATTCAAAGCATTGCATCAGGAGCTAAAAAACTTTAATTAAAACAGTTTTGTAGTTTTCCTGTGGAAGCATTCATTGTATTATTTTATCTTAGGCTTGTTTCAAACTTCGTGCTTCTCATGTGCCGAACGCATTAGAAACAATAGATAATGAGGTATTTCAGCCGACTATTGTTTTTAATGCGTTCGGCACATGAGAAGCGCGACGTTTGAAACGGGCCTTACTACTACATCCAGACCAACAATATTGCGCACTTGACATCTGATACATGCAATCTTTTCGTGAAGCACTGGCTTTAGGATCAATTTGACAAAAATAGTATTCTATCTAAATACCAGTTAAAGTAGAGTGTGCATGTGGACCTGAATGGACCTATTCCCTAATGAACAAAATTTTGATCTAGACAAGTGTAGACAAAGATTTTATCAAAGCTTGAAGAGCATCACAAAATGAGTAATATTCCGAAGTTTCATTGCAAAATGTTGTAAAATGCGGATAATATAGCCCTGCGAAGTTTGCCGTTTTTCAGTCATTTTGTATTACGCACGGGAAATTGATACCTTTTTTCAGAAAGCGGTATCAATTTCCCGTGCGTAATACAAAATGACTGAAAAACGGAAAACTTCGCAGGGCTATATTATCCGCATTTTACAACATTTTGCAACGAAACTTCGGAATATTACTAATTTTGTGATGCTCATTCAAGCTGTGATAAAATTTTTGTCTAGACTTGTCTAGATCAAAATTTTGTTCATAAGGGAATAGGTCCATTATTCATTATCTTGCTTGACAGTGCGTCTAAATCATAGATATCTTATATACACTAGATAGCGCATCTCTTTTAGTAAAATTGAAGCCAAGAATATTCCAGCGGTTACCCCCATTTGAATAGATGGCGGCCATGTTGGTCGTTCCCACTTGCTAATAAACGCTTAGAAACAACAATAACTTTCATCATTTGAATAGTTTAAAAACGTATTTGGAATAGGGTTAACTTAATGTTTAAGTTCCCTGTTTAAGAAATAGAAAACATACGAATCTTCTCATTTTATGGGAACGACCTGAGACTGCAATCACGGCTTCAATTTTTGAATTTCAGAATAATTAGATGCACTATCTAGTGTATATAAGATATCTATGGTCTAAATCCATAAAAAACATTTACATATTATGCAAATACTGTATATTTTCAAAATCTGCCATATTTATTTACATTAGAGTCCAAGCGCAGCAAGCTTTTACGGCTCACGGCCGTGATTTCCATTGATAATAGGAGGGTAAGATCGTCCAATTATTTCATTGTTCGAAGCGAGAGGAATTGATACTTCCATATATGGGACAAACGTGTCTCCAACTTCCTTATATGGCACAAACATGTCCCCAGAATGTTTTATCGAGGCTACTATGATGTCATAAGATTCCTCACGCTCGGAACGATTTGAACAAGTCACGTGGTACATAACCCAGACAGCTGATTGGGTTAGCGAGTGACAACGCCCACTTTGATCCCACCCTCCTGTTATTAGTGCAAATCACGGGCGTGACTGTAAATCGGAAATGTGGGTGGTACAGGCAGTTGTCATTTTAATATGGAGCCATGTCATGTCGTGTTATGACTATCAAAAGACTATTGCTTCAAAGTTCACGTTCAATGAGATTGTTGTGTTTGAGATCCATGTTAATATTGTTTTTTTGTTTTCTCTTAGGCCATTGTTCTACCTAGGCATGGTAATATTTAGCCGTTTTAATGCTCTTCAATTCTTACATATATCAAAAGATTGCCTAATGAATTGGCTAAGGGTAAGTTTCCACATTGATATATTTTCATTCAAAGCTTCATTACAATAATTCTAAGACATTGTGTATGAAAAAAGCAGACCAACTTCAATGTGTCATTAGCCTGTGTAGTTAATGTGTTTAAAGTAGATGTATCGTGCCTGCAGCTATCATGTGAGAGTCTCTGACGTCACATAAGATCAGGGGTACTCTGCCCGCATGTTCATTCTGCTTTTGCTCTGCTGCTCTTGTCTGCTGCCTTGCTATCAGTGTTATTTGTGGTGGAGTAATTAGCCTTGCTTTGCCATTGCTGTTTGCCAATTTTGCCATAACTGTTTGCCAGTTTTGCCATTATTAGGCATTTTATTCACTAGCTTTTTTTGCCATTGCTGTTTCCCGGTTTTGCTACAGTATAACATATGCCAGTTTTTGCCATAACTAGCATAGGAGGCCCAATAGTTAGTTATAATGGGCACAAAAAGGACTAGGGGGCTGTTCATATGATTCAACGTCTTGCCTAGCGAGACGAATATTTCCGTGCGTTCATATATGGAGTGTTTCATCCCGCTTGCCGAGATGAAATTACAATGTATAATGTGCGGATGCAAAACTTCTACAATTCAGTCCAGCAACACAAATATTTAGCGATTTTAGTGTTTTTCTTCCTTTATTTACAGTACAAGAAAAAGTATTGCTTTAGCAGCATATGTAATATTTTTTACAAAGCAAACGTAAAACTAAGTAAAAAGTGCTAAATTAAACGGCAAGACTTGTTTGACTTCATCCCGCCTACCTATTATCTCGGCAAATTCAAGCGAGATCTCTAAAACACTTTAAAATTCAATAATGTGTGTTACCGTGAAAATATTCCAGCAACACAGGCGTTTGTTAATGATGTGAGATCTTGCGTTGTCAAAACAACATGAAAATGTCAAGAAAGTTATACTTTGACACTCGAACAACATTATTGTGAGAAAATTATTTTAGTTTAAAAGCAGTTAATTAATTTGCCGATAAATTTCGTGACACGATGCTGGAGGCAAAATACGATCGATTCGTATATGGCGAGTCTGTATGGTCGAAAAAATAAACTAACTCGCCTGAGCGTTCAAAAGTTCGGGGGGGGAGGTTGAACACGAAACTACCGAAACAAAAGCACAAAAAGTTCGAAAAAAGGATCATAATTTGGAAATTTATCGAAAGTGACAGTTTTCTGAAAAAATTTAGCGAAACTGACAGTTTTCTAAAATAATTTCTTTATATTTTGATGCTTTTGAATTCTAAACTATTTTAATATTTTTTGTGCCTGTAACTAGTTGCCTAATTGTCAATTTTTGCATTAATTGTGCCAATTTGCTCCAAAATGAGGTTGTGGTGTTTGCCTACAAAGCTCACTAGCATTGAGCATCAAAGGTACCTACCTCCAAACTGAAATTATCTGCTGTTAGCCCAGGGATGGATTTCCTGGGGGCGGGGGCGGTAGAGCCAGGGGTGCTATAACAATTACAATTCAATACATCAAGCCAGTTGATTGGCGACCGGTGCACATGACCGACACAACTCGACACCAGAATTGATTGATACTTTATTATCTTTCCCCATAGAGGCTTTTCAAAGACAAGAACTAGCAGAGAACCACCCCCACCGCTACCAGATCTTGCTGGATCCATCCCTGCATGTGTTTATTTATTTATTTAACTTCGCCATTATCATGCATTCATGGCGGGGTCACCACAACAGTATGGTACCAATTACTGTGGGCCCTTTAAATTTTAAATAGATAATAAAACACAAATAAAACAACGAAAACTTCGATTTACCTGATCAAAGTCATCACACGAATTGGAACTTGAAGCCAAGCAAAAAAATTCCTCGAAGTTTTCGTTGTATTGTATTTCACAAACATACTTAATTAGCTGCTTGCAAATTTTATAAAACATATAACAATTCATAGAATATAAAATAGCTATTGAAACTTAATAAACAAGGCTAGGAAGATCTGACAACTTCGAAAAATAGATCAAAACAGTAAAGAACCTGGACGTGCACAAATTGACACAAATCTATCCAAATTTAGACAGAACATAAAATTAAGACTTACAACCTTCCTAATCATGTTTATATTTCAATAACTATGAGACACTAATAGCAGCAAGAGAGTGGAGCAGCAAGACTACGAGCAGTGTTACACTTTAAGCAGATAGACTTCCATGTCCGAGGATTTTGAGGTTGATAATTTAGGTATAAGGCAGTTTTGAAGTAGTCTAACAGCAGAGATTTAAATCTTGGTAAAGTGAGAGACTGGTGTCTCAGTTCTGCAGGAAGAATGTTCCAAACTCTTGCTGTTCTATTCATGAACGACCCTTGGAATGTTACTGTTCTGCATTTTCTAATCCTGAACGTAATGATGTCAGAATTACTCGTAGCTCGCGTTGTTCTTATACTTCCATGAATTGCTTGTATCATTTCGTTGTTCTTATATTTCCATCTAAATTTTGCACCATCGATAGTCTGTTGATTCTCGATAATCTTGTAAAGATCGCAGAGGACTGGATCGAGATGGGTCGCCGAACGAATTTCTTTGATCTTTAGAGATGGAGGAACGTCATTAGTAACAACCCAATTGACGTGCGCTTCTAGTTCTGCCGATTCTTTCAACTCTCGTTTTGAACATCGGGACAATGGTAGGGGTTGTCTTGAGGTGTAATGTGCAGGATTCGATTTACCAGGCTGGTATACAACCTTAAACGAAAATCCTTGTAGCTTTAAACGCATGCGCTCGACTCGGAAAGGACCTGGTCGACGTGGACTGTTGTAAAGGCTGACCAAAGGTTTATGATCTGTGATTACCTCGAACTCTCTACCCAGTAAGTAAATTTCGTTTCTAAGGCATCCATACTGTATGGCCAGGGACTCTCGCTCGATCTGGCCATATCGTCTTTCTACATCGGTCAGAGATCGGCTTGCGTACGTGACGACTCGGGGTTTCTGTGTCTTAGCTCTTCTACTGTTGGGATAACATGCCGGGTCCTCTTGATAGCCCGGTTAGGTTCAACCATATCCACACACATTCTGATTTCGTTTGAGTCCTTCTTTGGAGCTATCACTATTGGTGAAATCCAATCAGTGGCAGAATCCACTGTCTCAATGATACCTGCCTCTTCAAGACGAGACAATTCAGCTTCAACTTTATCTCTTAAATGGAATGGTACCCGTCTGTGTTTCTGGGCCACTGGCTTTACAGTCTCATCAATATGAAGTGTCACCTTCACTCCTTTCAATTTTCCAATACCCTGGAAAATGTCATTGTACGACGCAACAAGTTTACCCAACATCCCTTTCAAAGGTGTTGCTGGATTAGACTGTTTACTTTTGGCATGAACAGCCCCTGCCGATACTTCAGTTGCCTTTGATGTAGTACCAACTTTAGATTTCAATTGGTTGACTATGTGTAATATACCGAGATTTACAGCTGATGTAGAACCTAACAGACATCCTGATGATCTTGATCCTTTTATCACATAGAAATCTGCTACATCATACCGCTTCTTTGTGGCTATTGCTGCTGTAAACTTGCCGACCAGGGAAAGTGGTGATGAAGAGTTATATGCAAACAATTTGGCATTAGATTTCTTTAGAGTTACTTTTCCTTTTAATGTAACAAAAGTGTCCTCATCTATTATGTTTACATCGGCTCCTGAGTCAATCTGAAACTTTATTGGAACAGCGTTGATATTAATTTTAACTTTATTACACACCTTTT